GTTCTGGGCTGCTTGTAAATTACTTTGTATAAACTCCTTCACATCGCCCGCTGCCCCATCTTTCTCCATGTGCCTGTGGATAAACACAATTTTTTATCCTTCTAATTATGTAAAGTTAGAAGAAGAGGGGGACACAGAATAATATTAGCATCTCCCAGAAGGAATAAATACACCATGAGGACACTGCTATTCCTTGCAAAGCCTTTCTGGTAGGCCCAATGGCTGAATTCTTCCCTTTTGAGAATACTCACCATAGCTCCTTGCCTCTGCAGAAGGTGGATTTACATCTGGTACGGAAGGGCAAGTGGGGAACACCGCAGTCCTAAGCGTCTCAGCCCTGAGCCTCACGTCCAGCCCAGAACCACCATTTATTAAGCACCTGCTGCATACCAGGCATTGTCCGAGTACTTTCTTTTTTTTTTTTAGAACAGTCTTAGGTTTCAGAGGAAGTGAGCAGAACGTACAGAGAGAGTTCCCGTGTGCTGCCTGCCTCCCTCCCACATTCAGATTCCTGTTATTAACACCTCGTTTCCGTGTGATACATTTGTTAAAATTAATGAACCAGTCTTGACCCATTATTATTAGCTAAGGTCCATAGTTGAGAGTCTACCCTTTGTGTTGTACAGTTCAGTGGGATTTTAAAAATGTGTAATGACATGTATCCACCAGTACAGTATCCTACAGAATCGTTTCAGGGCCCTAAAACGCCCCTGTCCCACCTGTTCATCCTGTCCCCAAGTCCCTGGCAGCCACTGCTTATTTACCGTGTCCATACCAGAGTGTCATAGAGCTGGAATCACACAGTACGAAGCCTTTGCAGACTCCCTTGTGCCCTTAGCAGTAGGCATGTATGTTTCCTCCATGTCTTTTCATGGCTTGATCATTCATCTCTAGACATCACTGGATGATATTCCACTGTCTGGGTATATATTTATTTGTCTATCCTTTCATGTATTGAAGGACATCTTGGGTTTTTGTTTTTTTTTTCCTAAGTTTTGGCAGTTGTGAGTGAAGCTGCTATAAACATTTGTGTGCAAGTTTTTGTGTGGACATAAGTTTCCAACTCATTTGGGTAAATACCAAAGACAGCAATTGCTGGAATCATATGATAAGAGTATGTTTAGTTTTAAAAGAAACTGCCAAATTGTCTCCCAAAGTGGCTATACCGTTTTGCATTCCCACCAGCAGTGAACGGAGAGTTCCTATTGCTCCATATCCTCACCAGCGTTTGGTGTTGTCACTGTTCTGGACTGGGGCCATTCTAGTAGGTGTTATAGAGATACCTCGTTGTTGTTTTAATTTGAAATTCCCTAATAACATATGATGTTGAACATTTTTTATATACTTAGTTTTATATACTTATTTGCCATCTGTGTATCTTTTTTGCTGAGGTGTCTGTTCAGATCTTTTGCCCATTTTTTAATAGGGTTGTTTTCTTGTTGCTGAACTTAAGAGTTCTTTGTATATTGTGGATACAAGTCCTTTATCTGATATTCTGCAAATATTTTCTCCCAGTCTGTGGCTTGTCTTTTCATTCTCTTAAGGCCCTCGCACTTTTCATGCTTACGTTTTCTCATTTAATCCCCCCACCCCAGCACTCCATGAGCTACATAGTATTGGCTCCACTTTGCTAAGCAACCCAAGCTAAGAGAGATCAATTGACTTACTAAGTGATAGGGCTAAGATTTGAACCCAGATCTGACCCTCAGCTTCATACCTCACATCATCACTGTATCCCATTTGCCGCAGATTAGCCCTCTGGAAATGAATCTTGGTCACTGCATAATAAAATAACCTTTCACAGCCTCAGAAAATAGAGGTATCGTATTTGGATGCCTTGCAGAGCCCAGCATGGGTATTTGCCTCTAAGTGCCTTAATACAGGGTGGAGAGCCCTCTGTAACCCAACCCCTGCCTACCGCCTCTCTCTCTTCTCATGTTGCTAATCCCCTCACACTGTATCCACAAGACAGGAAATGGTTTTCAGCCTCCCCAGTGTACTTGCTTTTTCAGGAGCACTGTCTTCACTTTCCTTGTACCCTCTGATGGAAGGACCCTTCCTCACTGTCCACTGGTCAAGTCTTAGCCTACTTTTAATTCCTCATTCACATACTACTTCACAAAGCCCTCCTTTCTCCACTTTCTGAACCTTGGAGTTCTACTTCTGTGTACAGTCTGTCTCCCGCACGACACCGACAAATTCCTTAAGCATGAGTATCATTTTGACAATACTTCCTTAAGGCCATTCAACCAGCCTGCACATAGAAGGTTCTTCATGAATGGATGAAGACAAAATACCAACAAACACCATCCTCTGGTGGGTAGAGGCCCCTTTCATCTTTAAGAATATTTAACTTAAGTAAGTTTGTTTCTTATTGGTTTTTTAAATCATTTTTGCTTTCAGATTTTAACTTTGGTTTTATGTTAAAGAAAATTCCCTCTCCACATTTAAACCAGAATCTCTGTTTCGAGTGCTATAGACCCCAGGGGCAGTCATAACTCAATAAATAAAGGAGATTTTTAAATCAGTAAGTCGTTAGTGAGACCAATGAGTGAAAGCACAATGTGCATTTTTACTTTTTTAAGGCTTATCGTTTTTGTAACCACTGGTAATGCGGCTTAACAGTCTCAGCTCGGAGTCAGGCGCTGGGCCTTGTCTGACTCCTTGCTCCTGGAGCAGGATGGTGGTCCCCTGGGAGGTTCCACTCCTGGGGCCAGAATACTGCAGAATCTGGGACCAACCATTTGCACAGACTCCAGGAGCAGTGCCTGCTGGATGCTAGAAGTCCAGGGACAGCACCGTGGGTAGATGGAGCAGGGGTTTGGGTTCGGACAGACCTGAGATAGAATCCCAGCTCTGCCCCGTGCAGGCTGCATAACGTTGGGAATGTGCTTAACTTCTCTGAGCCCCTGTTTCTTCATCTGTGAAATGGGAAGAATCAACATACTATATCATCATGGTATTATTGTAGTAATCTACAGAGCTATGTTGAGGAATAAATGATTGAGTGAGATCATGTCTATAAAGTCTAATACCAGCCGTGAACTCCATAAAGGTGAACTTCAGACTTCTGACTTCACACCCCACTCCCCCCACCACCCCCAAAGAGATGAGTTAGACCTCCCACTTGCCACTCGCGCCCATGAGGAGTAAGAAAAGTGGCATCTGGTATATCTCTGTATCTATCATAGAGCCTGGCACACGGTCAAGGACGAATTTTTTGAATTTTTTAATGGATATGAAGTAGCGTCCTGTCCAGTCCTGGGCCTGTTTGTCCATCCTCGGACCCATTCCTTGCCTTCTCCTCTTCAACTGACGTGTGGGTTCAACCCATAGGTTGCATTTCCCAGTCTCTTGCCAGCTGGCAAGTCTGGCTGGCTTTGGCCAAGGACATGCCCTGGTGGGAGATTGGAAGTCAGGGAAAGGAAGAAGCCGGGGTATGTCTCCCACTCTGTCCCAGGTAGACTCCTCCTATAGCAGCGAGAGAGGCTCCTCTTTTTCTCCAGCTCCCACCATAGAGGCTCATAGGCTCCAGTTTCCACAGGGGCCCCCGCCCTCAGCTCTGATAACCTCGCCTCCTCCATCTGCCCCGCCATCCCCCGGGAGGCAACGTCTCCTCGCTAGTGCTGGTCTCTGAGTTACGCAGCCTCTCTCTGGCTTCTCAGCTCTTCCATCACCGGATGGCCAATTCTCTGGCATTAATCCCCCTGCCATGTACACTTGAAGCCGTTTCCAGTATCCTGCTTAGACCCCTCTTTGGAAGCAGGAGTGTCTGAGCTCAGAGTTCAGAGAACCCGCTCTTTCAAGTTCCACCACTCACAGGCCATGTGGCCAGTCAGTCCATGTGAGCCTCGCTGTCCTCATTTGTAACAGGGCTATGCTGCTTGTCTCCTGGGATCACGGTGAGAGTCCAGCAAGGTGATCCACTCATACGCTCACTAAGGATTTGTGGAGCGCCTGCTGCAGGTGGAGGTGCAGGGGATGAAACAGGGACAGAGTGCTAATGGCCCTGTTCTCGGGGGCTTCCGGTTCGGAGTAATAGATGTGCCTGTAAACTGCAAAGGGCTGCATATGCCTTAGCAGGAACCCTAGCCCTGTCCTAGACCAGACAGTGGAGGCAGGGACATGCAGCGATGGGTGACAGGGACCCAGACAGCAAGCTGAGCCCCTGCTCCCACCAGACCCAGCCAGGGTGTTCTGTTTGTGTGCATCTGTTAGTGCGTCATAGCGCGCTTTAATTAGTTGTAAAGGATTGGCCTGATTCTTCTGCGCAAGGGTTTTTTGTTTTTTTTTTTTATGGTGTTTATTTGATGTTATTTGAAGTAAATGTGCCATTGACTAAACCCTGCAAATCTTGTTTATGCCTGGATTGTGCCTGAAATTATATTCTCCAGAACACGTTTTTAGTTATTGATGACCTCTTTTATAATGATGGAGCCAGCTTCCCTTGAATGGTTGTATTGATAACAATATGTGGCCAACAATCTATTTGCAACAATTCTCCGAAAGGCAAAAGGAAAGCATTTGCACACATGTGGAAAATTGGTAAATTTGCCATTTTTATGCAATAATGAAAACAGAGCATGTTAGTTCATATCCGACACTTCTCGCCTCCTGAGTATTTTGATCTCTCTCGCACTGTCGTGTGAAGAAGGTATTTCTACTGCCCTTTTAATGACAAAATCACTAAGACTTAAAGAAGCAAGGCGACTCACACAGGTGGGTCATAACTAGAACTAGAAGGGCAGGTGGAAAACAGAGAAGGAGTACACACAGTGGTTTTTAAGGCACAGTGATCTCCCTGAGCCTCAGCTGCCTCATCTGTAAATGGGGATGATAATGGGGTGGCACCAGGGGTCAAATGAGAGCGTGTGTGAGAAGCAGCATGTTGCCCATACTACTAATGCATGGTAGCTCTGCAGGAGGGCAGTGCTGGCCCCTCACCGCAGGCTCCTTTCTACAGCCACCCCCGCCCCTTGTTTTCTGCTCTCTCTCTGCAGACGACCATTCCCGGGTGAGGTTGCTGGTGCTGGACGGAGACCCGCATTCTGACTACATCAACGCCAACTACATTGATGTGAGAGTCTTCACGGGGCTGGGCAGCCGGGCTCTGGGGTTGGTTGTAGCAGGCTCGAGACCTGTGGCTGTCCTCCAGCCTCCCTCCCCCACAAGGTGGCCCTCCCAGAACGTGTCCAGAGGGGTCTGGGGCCTCCCTGATTTGTGTAATTAGCATAACCCACATTGATTATCCATCGAAAGCTGCATCCTCTTTGGGGCTGGCTGGAGTAGCCTGCTCTGTGGGGCCCCAGGACAGCTGCCCGTCTTGTTCATTTACCCATTAATTCATTTGTACGTGTGTCTGTTTGTCCATCCATTCATTCATTTGAAGGTATAGCCATTTATGCAACACAAATTTAAAAGTCCCTGCTGTGTGCCGGATGCTATGGGAACCATAAAACTAAAAGTGCCATGGTCTCTACCCTTTAAAACCTGAGCAGGAAGATAAGCTATGCACATCAGTAATTCCAGGGCAAACTGGAAAGTGGTAAGTGTCATATGTTCAGATAAAATGCTGCAGGGATTCAGAGGTGGGGGGAAAAATCGCTTCTTCCATCAGGAATGCAAAATGTGATATGAACCAAAGCTCCAAGCACAGGATGAATTTAAAATTAAAGAGGGGGAAGAAGGGCCTCTAGTTAGAACAGCACAAGCCAAAATGTAACACCTGGAAGCAGAGAGTATGTAGCAGCTCAGGTTGAGGAGAGCAGAGACCATGTCATGGGAATAGTGGAAAATAAGTTTGGAGCTAGATCATCGGTGGTTTACGAACAAACTTAGAAAGCCGGACTTGATTCTGGAGGCAAGAGAACTCTATTGGAAATTTTTGATCATGGAGGTGATCAGTGCAGAGCTGAGCTTTGGGATCATTTATCTATCGCCAAGGGTAAGATTAATCCGAGGGAGGAGAATACAGGATTCAGATGCCCAGTTAGGAAAGGGGCTGCCTCACCATGGAAATGAGAGAGTCTGCAAAGGGGGAGCATGGCCACCAGGGACAAATGGACGTCCTTTCATAACCCGTGCAAGCCAGGCTTCTCAGGACCTCAGCTAGGAGCCTGGGGGCCTCGACAAATGGCAGAGATCACCTTGGTCCCTCTGACACCCAAGTGTTTCTGTAGACAGGCTATGAAGTGGAATGGTGTGTGCTTGAAATCCCCCTAATCTAGGCTGATCCAGATGATTCATTGATTCTACAAAAATTTATTGAGCTTTGTGGTGGTCATTTGTCTGTTTGTTCTCAGATCTATTTCTCGGCCTTCCCCGTTCTGCTTTGCATTGCTTATCTGAGTATGTGTGTGATAGAGTGTACCTGAGAGTGTGTGTGCGTTGTGGCAGGAAGGAGGGCAAGCCGATCCCGACAGGGAGGGCACTGATGGGAGATTGGAGGGCGAAAGGAGAGCTGGTGTCTGGCTCCTCCCTCACTTCCTCGGGTAGCATATCTGGCAAGGGCCGCATCCCAGCTGTGGCACCAGCTTCTACCAGGCAGACCCACCAGAATTCCCGCCTCTGCCTGGCAGCCCCAGCTCCGGGGTCTGGCAGCTTCTCTGTCTCCCGTCGTCCGCTAGTTCTGGGGGCAGTCACAGTCTCCTGCTGGTGCCAATCTCTGGGTCACCCCTCTGTGCCCTGGTTAGCATCTCAGCTCCCCTGTCACCGATGTCATCAGCACCCCATGCTGAATTCCCTGCGTCTGAAACACCCAGAGTGGTTTCGAGTCCCCACCGGGACCCTGGCTTATAAAGGGCCTTCCCGTGGTCAGGACCTGGGGCTGGAGTTTCAGTGGAAGTCAAGGTAGACACAGTCTCTGTCCCCGTGGCCCTCCCAGGAAAGTTCACAAGGAGATGGCCAGTTCAGAGCACCCTGTCTCGAGCCTGGACAAAGCACTCTGAGTATCTGCCCATCACAGCTCTGGCCTCTCCCTCATGCGTCTAGTATTCATTTCTCAAACACTGAGCAGGTCCTCCAGTGTCTGCTGGAAATGCAGACCTGAAAAGGGACTCAGGTCTGGTGAGGGAGTTGGGTAAGAAAAGAGACCCTCACAGAGCAGGGCCTGTGTGAACATAAAGGAAAACCAAAGCTTTGGTTGGGGTGGGGTTGGGTAGTCAGGGGAGCCTTCCTGGAGGAGGTGACACAGTGCTGCTTCAGCCAATGAGTAAGAGTCCAACAGACAAGAAGGACTGGTAGTAACCTAAGATCACCTCTTGTGTTTCAACATTACTTAACTAGGTACCGCAACCTCACAAAGTAAGTGCTGTTACTACCCATTTCCAGATGAGTTAGCTGAGGCTCTCGATTAGTTATGTAACTTATCCAGGATCACAATGCTAGGATGTAGAGGAGGAGGGAGCAGGAGTCTGAATCAGGGGTGGCTTCCCCACCATGTACTGCTGGCTTAAATAATAACAGTAAAGCCATGACAACAGCCAGTGGATCTAAATGAGTCATGTTTGGGCCCTGTGGTGGGTGGTTGTAGAGGAGTCAGTTTATGGAGACCCCTCAATAATTCCCCAAGTTAGGGAATCATCCCCATTTTTCAGAAAGAGAAGCTGAGGTTGAAAGAGATTACAAAGCTTAGGGCGCCCAGGTGGCTCTGCCAGTTAAGCATCCAACTCTTGATTTCAGCTCAGGTCATGATCTCAGGGTTGTGAGATGGAGCCCCCTGTCAGGCTCTGTGCTGAGCTTGGAGCCTGCTTGGGATTCTCTCTCCTTCTCCCTCTGTCCTTTCCCTCCACCTCTCTGTCTCTCTCCCTCCCCCCACCTCTCTCTCTTTCTCTCTCTCTCTGTCTCTCCCTCCCCCTCTCCAAAAAAAAGTTTAAAGAGATTACAGAGCTTTAAGTAAGGCCATGCATCTGGTCAGCAGCAAAAGCAAACTAGGAACCAGACCGGAATAGCTCCCAGTCTGGCGCCTTTCCTCCTGTCCCTCCGCATCTACTCCCAGACAGCACCTTGCATCCAGCACATAGTGGGGACTCAGGATGCAGTTAACCAGACTGAACTAGTTCCTTCCAGTTTCCCCTTGACCTCGTCTACAGCTGAGTACTTGTGGCAACCCCAGAGGCCCACATGGGGTCTGCCAGCCCAAGGTGCCATATATAGCATTTGTCATCTGAGTGGTAACCCTCCCACAAAAGTTACTTTCCTAGAGAGACGCTTCCCTAGATAAACAAAGTTGCATAAGCATCTGACTATAGTCAGAGCCAAGAGGCACTTTGGTACATTACAGGCAACAAATGAAATTGCTTCAAATGCAGGTGAATCTCTGTGACATCAACACCGAAAACACCTCCCATTCCTGCCAGGTTCTATCATTACAGTGCATTCTGTAAGCCTCTAAGGATAAGAAACCAGGGGTTGAGGTTAAGATCCTTGCTCAAGGTTACATGGCTAGAATCCTGTTCTCATGCACTAAGGATACCCCACCACCTTCTCCCTCTCGGAGACGTGGATTGTGCAAATAGGCCAAACAGCCTCTACAAGATGCTGTCTTCATATGTGACATTGGCTTCTGCTGGATCTCCGTGGTTAGAGTCAAAAGTTCACGAGACCAGAGTCATGAATTCAGCTGTTGTTGGGCCTGTTGAGTCCAGGCCTTTCTGCTTACTAGCCTTATGATCTTATTTACTTGTTCTGCTGTCTGTAAAGTGGGATAATAATGCTACCCTGGCAGTATATGATAACCAACATATCTGTCAGTCTCCCATTAGGAAACAGAGGCTCACTCAAAGGGAGTAACGGGGGGGGGTGCAGGGGAGGGGGTTAGCAAGGTAGGAACAGAGTTAAGGGAAAACAACAGGGTGGGGTGCAGTATCCCCGAGTTAGAAGCAGAAGCCTCTGACAGTCAGTGCTAACCTCAGTGGCCTGATAGGGGCAGATCTAGAAGACATACACCCCAGCCTCCCTATGGCCTGCTTCTGCTCCCCCATTGGCTGGACCCGACTGGAGACCAGAAGCCATGGAGCCCCATTATGTAGTCCATACAGGTCAGCATCCATCCCACAGCACAGAGCAGTCTGGAAGGGAAAAGCGGGAACATGGTGGAAGGGGGTGGTGGAGAAGACACCAAGCACAGGCACCTCCTAGCACTCTGTTACCAATATGGGGCAGAACAGGGGATGAGGAATCCCATGATTTCTGAGCCTACTGTGTACTCCAGCAAACTTAAAATTCCTGTAGTCCTTTTGGGGATTTCTGGCAAGACACACACTACATAGCTTTCTAGGTCCTCACTCTTTTGCCCTGCTCTCCCCCCCGCCGCCGAAATCCTCCTGGACATTTGCTCTCAGAAGAGCTAACTGCCTACGCTGGAATCATTTATCCACAATTGGATCTTGACGATCCATTAAAACAACTCCATTTGGATAATGAGCTGGATGGGGCCAGCCCTGTCTGTGTCTCCAGAGGCCGTGGTTCTGCTACCATCTGAACCATCCCACTGGCAGGTTTGTTTGCACACCCGAGAATGTATTGGCCACTTGAATCCGTTATAAATTACCAGTCTGGAAATAAATATCGTATCTGGGTCCCCAGTAAGTAACAGATGCATGAGTTCAGAGTGAGATAAATGCGTTTTGGATGCAAGCCTCTTTCCCATTGCTCACAGACGGATGGAGGCAGGCCCGGTGCTGGTTTGCAGTCGATCTGTGTGCTGTGTAAGTGGGACTTAAATGAACTCAAAGTTCTTTTAAGGTTAGGAAGTTTTCTGAACCAGTTCTTGGCAAAGCCCCAGTAAAGCCCCAGTCGAGCAATACATTTCCTTTTATCTCCATTGCTGAGGAATCTCGTGGTTAGAACGTTTTCTCTTTGGGAACTCGATGGGGTCTTGGAGACCAGAGAGGGCCTTTTGACTCCCATGCAGTGTGCAGACAGGCCCACAGCATGCATGCATGCATGCATGCATTCGATATGCGTTTATCAAGGCTGATGGCCCAGGCCGACTTGTCGGTGCTGGGGACAAAGCCACGAGCAAACCGGATACAGCCCTGCCCTGTCAGCCCTCTCATTCTGCTGCGGAGACAGACTGTGAGCATGTCCATAAACAAGGAACATTCTGCCATTGAGTGATAAGTGCCCTGAAGAAAAGTAAACCAGAGAAACGTGAGAGCGGCCTACATGGTGGTCAGGGGAGGCTCTCTGTGAGGTGACTGACAACCAAGCAGAAGCCTGGCTGGAGGGAGAGAGCAAACCACCGAGCTCAGCGGGGACAGATGCAGCCTGCACAGGGAATGGCCTGTGTGAAGGCCTCTGGATGGAAACGTGACTCCTGTGTCTGAAGAAGAGCAAGACGGCCTGTGAGCCAGGGGAAGAGTGGTAGGAACCAGGCATGCTGCCGGAGGGGAGGAAATGGGAACGCCACTAAGAGTGCCCCAGCCTCACCTCGGAGACCTGTTTATGCGTGTATGCCACCCATTGGCCTTTGCTGAAAGCTGCCCCCAGCTCTGAGTGCAGGCGCCATGGCCCATGGGGAGAAAAGTACAAAAACCGTATTGCAGCTCATGTGCTACGTGTTTCGTTGGGCACATGCAGAAGCCTGCAGGACTGCTCAGGAGGAAGGAGTTCTCATTGGAGGGGTGGTGCCGGGAAGCTGGGACATAGGGCCCGTGGAAGGGCATGGAGAGGGACACCTGGCACTGAGGCTAGAGACGGGTGATTAGTCCTGAGCTAGGACATCGGGACATGACTGCACACACCGCGGGAAGCCATTGCAGGCTGTTGGGTGGGGAGATAACATAATCCGATGTGCACCGGAGAGTTCACTCTGGTCAGAGGCAGATGCGCGGATGGGACGAGACTGGAGGCAGGGAGGCCAGTGAGCGGCCAGTGCCGTGGCCTGGGTCAGGAAGGACAAGGACTATAACTGGGAGTGACGATGCAGCTGACGGAAGAGGGGGGGCTTGAGAAACCACACCCTTCTACCCTCTAGGGGACTATTTTCTGTTCCCAAACCTACTCGAGAAAATTCCCAGTGTCTAATTCTTCCTGCAAGCTTGGGAAACCCTGTCCATCTTGACTTGAAGGAACAGAGAACTCCTGGTCCCTCTCACGTCCCTTCCTACTTCTCACGTGTCAGAGGGGGCTCCGTTTTGCATTAGGGGCAGAGCGGTGAGGTGGGAAGAGCTTCTGATCTCACCGTCTCCCAAGCGGTCATGGTAGGCCCCCAATAAATGTTTGCCAGATGACAGTAAGATAGCATGTGTGTTAAAGCTTAGACTGTAGTGCCTGGTGCATTGTAACTGCCATATAATCTTAATAGAAACACTGTATTGTAAATCTAAGTACCCTCATTTGATGGCAAAAAAGCAACAGAGGCACAAGGAGGTTAAGTGTGTTAGCTCCAGACCACACGGCGCCTAAGGGTCAGAGCCAGGATGCAAACCCAGGCCATCGGGCCCAGAGTGTGTGCACACGACCTCCTCCAGCCGTACCTTATTTAACTGTGCTCCCAGCCACTTGTTCATTGGACATTTGTTCTGAGTCTCACACTGTACGAGACTCTATAGAAATTTTTTTTTAAAACTTAGAGGAGGCAGTATTTGTCCTCAAGAAACTGATAACTTCACTAAGAAGTTAGCAAACAGATTTATTTAGGTGGGGCTGTTGATTCCTAGGGACTGTGGTTAATCCAGCAGTTCTGGCCACGCCGCCGGCCCTGGCTTGGTGCTGACAGTGAACTCTGGCATCTCTAGAGTATGCCCAGCAATGGGAAGGTACGTACTAGGTATTTAAGGAGCAAGGGGAAGACTGAGGTGGAGAAATACACTGGGGGCTCAAAAACAAGTCTTTGAATCGGAAAGTGGATCCAGAACTGGAGAGATGCCTCGTCTGTTTCACCATAAACCATACAGATGGTAATTCTGGCTCATTTCCTGAGTGAGAGGGCCTGGAGGCAGCTCATCCCCTCCCCTCCAACAGGACAGAAAGATGGATCACCAACATTGGAGACAAAACTAGGGAGTCATCAACGGTTTGGGCTTGTTTTCTCCTGAGATGGTTAACCCTAAAGCAAAGTCGATTTCAGGGCTGTCCATGACCTCTCCTCCAGCAGGGCTCTGTAACTGGCACCTGCAGTTTGAAAAAGTATCTGTCCATCCATTCGTTCGCTCACTCATGTATTCATTCCATAAATACTATGTCCGGTGGTATGTACTAAATGCAAATCTTTGTCCAAAACTTAACTCTACCCAGTATGATAGAATTCCTCTCTGGAACTAGAAAGGGGATCCTCCATGTATCGCCATAGCCAGGCAAAAGAGAAGGCTCTCTTCAACCTCTTCCCCAACGATGAGGGTTATGAAGCACAGAGTAACCCCATACCAGATGCGGCAGGGCCTCCTGGGACACTGAAATATACAGGGATATCAGAAACTGGCCTCTGAATCAGAAAGTGGCTTTATCAGCCTCTAAGTCACACCTGCATGGGGTCCTCCCTGGTGAGTGGGACTTCCAATTCCAAGCTCCGCCGTGTGGCACAGAGAGGCACTGTGGCATTCTTCCCCATTTTTTTTTTCTAACTGTTACTAATGCAAGGGGCCAACGATGCAATGGTTGTCTTCCATCAGGTGCCCTACAGAGACTCACAGTGTTCTGCACAGTTAGGACCCAGGAAAGACTTTTTGGTGGTTTATGTCCCACAGAAACACCACAGTTCCTTCTCCACCTCTGTCTGCGTACATGGGCATAAGTAACAGCCACCCAGTTTTGCTTCCAAGGCAAGCCTATATGGGTCCCTTCCAAGTTACTACTATAATAGCTAACGTTTAGTGATTTAATAAGTGCTTGCCATACGTTACTTATTTCATCTTTGCCACTTCCCTGGGAAGTGTCTAATGCTATTCTCATTTTGCTTGTGAGAAAAGCATGTCTTGGAAAGGATAACTATTAATATTATGGTGTTTGCGAGCTTTGACTGGAGGCCCTTCACTCTGCTTCTCTCCTGTCATCCAGGGATACCATCGACCTCGGCACTACATTGCAACTCAGGGTAAGTGCTCTCCTTTTCCTTGAAGGGGTCCTCACCCTTCACTGGAAGAGAGGAATGGGCTTCTGCCAGCAAAAAAGTCACACAAACATAGGTCCTTGGGAGCATCCATTTTTTGGGAAGGAAAGAGGTGATGAATTCAGCTCTAGGGGGGAGGGATGTGAGTGAGAGATGAAGGAGGTGTCGCTAGGAAATGGCACAGGCAGGGCAGACCCAAAGCCTCAGCCTCAGGCACATACCCTCAGGATCCACCATCCGAAACTAGAGCTGATGGTGCCTTATCTCCTTGACGAGTGTGTGCCTAGAAGAGAGAAGTACTCAGCCATTCTGGAGAACAACTTGGCAGTACATTATCAGAGGCTCAAAAATGATCCTACCTCCCAAACCCTTTGGGGAGGAAATCCTGTGTATAATTATATATGTGGACAGTGACATATACAAAGATACTCGTCCCAGTGTTATATCTAATAGGAAAAAAGTGAAAAATCTTAAGTGCCCAACAGTTGGTAGATTGCTTAAATAAAGTGTGATACTTCTATATTATAGAAAATTATGCAGTGAACACGTACCATTCTTGGTAAGAATTTTTAAGAGCATGCAAAAATGCATATAATGATGCATATAAAAATGCATATAATAATTTGCTTATTACAGCAAATGCATATGTATAAATACATATATATATACATATACAGAAAAATGCTATTCAGATTTTTATATCAAATACATGTATTACTTTTGTAATTGTAAAAGCAATGAAGGCCCAGGGAATTGAAAGAAATTTCTAAGGAAATTGCTTTGGACTCTCAGATGCTATCTCCCTTTCCTTGTCATTTCTTTTCCCTCCCTCCTGTTTGGGCTCCAGAGGAATGCTCCTTGTGTTTGTCAAGCTCAAAATCAGGCCTCTACTGTTTGCACTGTGAGCATCCGGCTCCTGGCAGCTCTCTGTCCTCCTCTCCGCCCCCTGCAATCCCAATTTCCTCCCTGTCTCTCACTGAGGTTCTGGAGCCCAATTTTTATGAAAACTCCCTTAAGCTATTTTATTAACCCATAATACAGTCCCGATAAGGTGATGGATGGGGGGCAAGTGGGGCTGGGGGACAGCCTCTGAGCAGGAGGACAGTGGAGGGAAGAGGAAAGGCTGTGGACATTTCCATGGATGCTGTAGACCATGCTAGTTTGGAATGCCGCTTTGCTTTTCCATACTCTGGCCCTGGTCTCAGTGACTCGGGTGTCCCAGCGAGAATCATCGGCCTCGCTCTCGCTCTCGCTCACCTGTGCGGAGCCTGGACCGACCAATCAGGAGGGACGGCCTCTTGGCTGCCTCCGTTCACTTGTGGTCTTTGACCCTGTCACCTTCTCTGTCGGCAGGTCCGATGCAGGAGACTGTCAAGGACTTTTGGAGAATGATCTGGCAGGAGAACTCGGCCAGCATCGTCATGGTCACGAACCTCGTGGAAGTGGGCAGGGTAAGCCCCTCCCGCAGTTACCTGGACAGAGGTTGCTGGCCCTGCCCTCCTGAGCATCATACTGTTCTGTGCCTTATGGCATGTGCCCCCACTCAACACTTCACCCTCACAACCACCTGCGTGGGAGAAATCCTCACCCCTGCTTCCCATTCGGGGAATAGAGCCTTTCCCTCCGCGTCATCCCTTTCTCCACCCTCGCTTCGTTGATGACGTCATCTCATACCCTTTGGGGAAATGAAAGCCATCAGACATGAATGCTCATCGTCACACCACGAAGCCACAATCCTGCTTGCATCTACAGCCATCCTCTCATTCTCCCCCTCTCTTATCAGGGTGAACCATAAAACATGGCCGCTTTTGTTGACCCAAATGGTAGACTATCTGCTGTTTCTATGGAAGAAGTGACTCTTGCCCTTTCAAAGGCAATCCCAGTGCCTTGTATCACAGATTCTAAGCAAGAATTTTCTCATTTCCCCTCTCACTCGAAAAGTAACTCTTTTTCTCATTGCTAGATTATTCCCCTGAACCTACGGAACATCCTGAGTACCTTCCCCCTGAAAATACAAAACAGGCAAACGAAAAGGATTCTCTTCTCCCTACTTTTCTGCCGGACCCTAAAGACTCACACACAGGCTCTGTTTCTCCATTCCAGTTCTCTTCTCCCCTCTCCATCCCACCCATAGTGAGACGGTCAGTATCACCAGCATCCTTCATGTTGACGAATCCAACCGCCACTTCTTTCTTCTCATCGAACTCAGCCTCTCAGAGCATCCGACCCTTTGCTCCCTTACCTCTAAACCTTGATATTCCTCAGGGTTCAGGCCTTGGTCTCCTGCTCTGCTCTATCTCGACTCTCTCCTACGTCGTCCTTAGCTACTCCTAGGGCTTGGAAATGGGACTGCTATGCCCAGCTTGCTTTTGCTCACTTCGTAAACTGTGGCGTGTGGGTGGGTGGGCTGCTGGATTGAAAGGCAGGGTGCACAACACTAGAAGGAAGAGGGCTTCTCTACTTACCATAGGAACTAACCGAAGAGTGGGCAGGTAAGTTTTTGTTTTGGCAAAGAACCAGATAACCCATTAAAATAAAGAGTCCTGGCCTCCAAGATCATGGGAAAGAGAGAATCTGGGCTGTCATCATAATCCAGGAAAGGGCTGTGGACATCTCGTGGCCTCATAGGGTTCTAGGGCCAAGAGAGACTTTATCCTTGAGCTCACTCTCACCTCATCCCTTCCCCAGCTTTACAGATGAGGAAACAGGCCCCGAGGGGCTGGAGCATCTACCCCTTAGTCCTCCAGCCAGAGCCCGGCCACGATCTCTGACTCTTAACTCTCATGCTAGTGTCGTGGCCCCTCCACTCACAACTGCTCCCCAAGGACCCAGGCCCAGGGAGCAGCTACTGTGGACAAAAAGGCCAGGCTAGGATTTAAGAATTCGGAGGCAAATTCCAGCCCATTTTATAACATATCTCATCTTGGAGACAGATTCCCTCGATGGACAGCTCGTGAATCTAATTTGGATTTGGGGAGGGAACAGGGGAGCAGTCTCTTGACAGAACTCCTGCTAGGAGCCAAACACCATGCCTGACTCTCCCTGTGCGTTACTTCATTTTGATTCCAACAACTGCACGAGGCAGTGTTTCTGGTAATTATTCAGGTGGCCTGGCTTTGCATCCTGGCTCCATCCCTTCGTGACTTTGGACAATTTTCTTAGTCTCTCAATGCTTCTGATTCCTCATCCGTAAAACGGGGTGATAATCATATCTGTAAAGGTTGTAGTGATAAGCGATTAAAATAATACAGGTAAGGAATTAGTAGAACACTTAGCAAGCAGTTTGAGACACTGTAGGCTGTCAGTAAGCTTTAGCTATCTGTATTAATAGGAAGTTGAGCCTCAGAGAGATTTCAGCACTTTTTGGAAGCTTCACAGCTGCTGAGCGTTAGAACCAAGCAATGCATCCGTTTGCCTGCCAAGCCTGTTGCGCTATACCAGTGTTTCCCTAAGTGGGTTCCATGGGATGCTAGTCTGCAGGATGCCTAGTGAGAAGAGGGTTCCATGGTTAAATACGTTTGGGAAATGCTGTGTACTGTTTGCCCCTCTCGGAGAGTCGAAAACACATTAGCGTTAGCACGTTCAACGAGCTGAGGAGTCTTGTAGCAGAGCGGCCTGTTTAACTTTGTTTAATCCAGCATTTCCCAAACTCATTTGACCACAAAACCTTTTTTTTTGTTTGTTTTTTTTGTTTCTTGTTTTTTTTTTACCTAACACCTATTAGCACCCAGCGGAACACACTGTGGGAAATGCCACTCTAGGCCGCGCGGCGTCCCCCGGAATGGTAATGCTTTTGTTCTTTTTAGGGGAAAACAATGATCTCTTTCTCGTCCCGCGGAGTGTGACCTAGAGTCCAGTGTGGGACTGGCTTGTCACCGGCATCTGCACCCACTGCCCGGGCAGAGAGCCGTTGTGTGGACTCTTCCCTTTTAGTCCCTCTCCTTGCATCCTTCTCCCAGCCGAGAGCCTTTCTCCTTCCAGCCCCCAGTCACCACCTCTGAATAGTAATGGCCCTCTCCCCACCCCTTTGCTTCCACCCCCTCACTGCTTCCCACTTTTATTCTCATCTCTGCTCCACTGACGCCGCCCCGCTGCCCGACCTGATCTAGCAGAAAAAGGGCTCAGCCAGAGGTAGAAAACTGGCCCCGTGACCTGGGACCAGGTATCTGACCTCCAAACTCGAGCTTTGTTTCCATCTGTAAATGGGGTCATACCAGCTGCCTATCTCACCTTGATCGCTTCGCTCACCTAGTATGATAATGGACTTGGAGATTTTAAGGAGCTCTGCCAAAGAAGGTACTACCATTATTCCTAACGGCCCCAGGGCCTTTGGGAGCGGGCGTGGCCCTGTGCAGTTTGCCAGTCCCCGGCCAGCTGACAACCCCTTGGACCGAAATTCCACCCAAATCGCCCTCGGGTTTATCGGACCAGGAAGGCCGGACGAGGCGGCTGCTCACGCTCGGCCACGCACTCATCCATCCTTGTCTCTGCCCTTCCTCACAGGTGAAGTGTGTGCGATACTGGCCGGATGACACGGAGGTCTACGGGGACATTAAAGTCAGCCTGATTGAGACAGAGCCCCTGGCGGAGTACGTCATACGCACCTTCACCGTCCAGAAGGTAAGCTTCCCCGTGGCTGTGGGCAACCTGTGCCCTGGGCAAGCCAGCTGTTCGTTCATTCAGCACACTCGCTGAGCGAGGGTCTGCTCTGTGCCCACCCTGTGCCTGGCTCCAGGGACAGATCAGCAATCAAGTTGGATGTGGATCCTGCTCCAGAGGATTCCCCACCCCCTCTAGCGGGAGGGACAAACAGAATTCAACAGACAAATAAATGGACTGATGCCACATGGTGACAAAAGCCATGGAAGAAACCTGCCACGAGTGCAGACAGGAAGATGAGGTGGTCAGAGAAGGCTTCCTGGAGGAAGAGACATTTAGGCAGACAAGGATGGATGAGAAGGAGCCAGCTGAGGGAAGAGCAGGAGGAACCCCATGCCAGGCAGAAAGAAAGAAATATGCAGTCACGGGGAAGGAAGATTGCAACATGTTCCAGGCCTGTGGTTCTCAGCTGGTGGTGATTTTGTCCCACGGGGCAAGTTTGGCAATGTCTAGGGACATTTTTAGTTACCAAACCTGAGGATGGAGGGTGCTGCTGGCATCTGTGGATGGAGGCCAGGGATGCTAATGAACACCCTGCAATGCACAGGACACCCCAGGCCCCAACAACAATTATCTAGCCCCAAATGTCCATGATGGCAGGATTGAGAAGTGCTGGTCTAGGCATTGAAAGGAGGCTGGCAGGGGCTTGATGAGCAGGAACGAGATTGCAAATAAGATTTATCGTTTAATTCCTATTATAATGATAGCTAACATTTATTGAGCAATTACTAAAGCAGGTGCTTTTCATTGCATACATGAACTCACTCAATCCAACAACCTCTTGAAGGAGGTACTGTTATTACTCCCATCTTACAGGGTAAGAAAATTAGGCACCGAGCATGTGTGTCAACTGTCCAGAGTTGCCCAGCTGCGAGGTTGATACGGGGCACACTGCGCTCCCGGTAGCCCCCTCTCCAAGCCAGGTGCTCCTAAAGGCCTGCATCTGCAGACTCAGGTGAAAAGCCAGGAGGGAAGGGCCCTTCTCCATGACAACGGGTACAGACCCATCCTGGGCCCCACACCTGAGCAGGGAGGCCTTAGAGAACTGCAGGCAGGCGCTCAGTAAACACTGCCCAGGTCATTAGCTCAAAATCGGTTCCTGAGCCAGGGATCCAGAAATAATAAACAGAAAGTGGTGTCTGCCCTTGAAGAGAGCACAGTCCCATCAGGGAGGGAGGACCCCTGATCCATGACCACAGTGGAGGTGGTGAGGGCTCGAACAAGGGCTTCCCGGGGCTGAGCTGACCTGGAGAATGGAATGAAGAACTGAATGTTCCTGGAGCTGTTTCCTCTTCTGCTATTTCAGCTCGTCCATGAGGTTCTTCATCTGGGCCTTTGTTCACTCCCACCCGGACTCCTGCCCCAGCTTCCTATGGGGCTCTCTGCCTCTGGTCTCACCCCATCTCGGTTTGGGTTTCTGGGAAGCCGACCCTGAGGCAGGGCTTTGGGTGCGCTTGCTGAAGCTGGAGGAGGAGCTCTGAGAAGGGGAGGAAGAGAGGGAGGTGGGACAGGGCAGCAGAAGGAGCCAAGCCAGGGTGTGCTCTCAGCTGGAGACCAAAGCCAGCTGGATCCCATGGGAGCTCTGGGTCATGAACTCCACCACACAGCTGATCCTGTGTCGAGGCAAAGGAGTCCTCTGTTCCTCCATTAGCATCACGCAACGTCCTGGTATGCCCAGGGCCATCCCGGTTTTAGCACCAAAAGTCCCATGTCCCAGGAAGCCCCTCAGCCCTGGGCAGACTCACCAAGTCAGCTGGTCACCCTGCTGTCCCGTCAGCCCCTGAATGCCAGCTACCCACCCCCAGCCCCACCCCCAGGGGAAGCGGCTCCTGGCGGCTGAGCAATTCTGTGAAGAAGGGGGGAGCTGTGGGTGTCTGCAGCCAAGACTCAGGAACTGGGGATGGGGGCCCTGGCCCAGGAAAGGGGATCTGGAAGGGCACCATCAGTGCCTTCTGCCCTGCCCGCCAACATACCCACTCAACTCTAGGCTGCACATAGCAGCCAACACAGTCCTCCCAAAATACAAGTGTGATGATGCACTTCCCCTTCTGGGCAACCTCCCCAGAGCTCCCCAGCGAGACCCGGTGTGAGATGCAAGGCCTTCCAGCAGCCAGCACTCCCCCAGTCCCTCCTGGGGGTGCCCTGTTTGTGGTTCTGTGCACGTGCCGTGGCCTGGGCTGCCTCTTGGACTCTGAGTTCCACCATCTCTTCCATTGGGCAACACTCAGGCCTCAGTGTCTCATAGTGACTAGCAGTGCAGACTGTGGGGGCTGACAGCCAGGGTCCAGACTGGGTTACAGCTCACGAGTTGTGTGACCTGGTTGTGTTCCTTAACCTGGCTTAACCTCAATGTCCTCATCCGTAAAACAGATAACATAAGGACTAGTGGGAGGATTAAATGAGTTAATACACCGAAATGCTCAGAAAAGTAACAGGCATGCAGTGTGTGCTTAATAAATGTTAGCTATTATTTTCACTGTTAATGTATTTCAAGACTCAGGGCATGCATCACCTCCTCCAGGAAGCCTTCTCTGATTTCTCCTTCCCCAGGTGGGGTTACCTGACGCTCCTTTAAGCACTTTAATAGGATTATCCACTTAGGAGTCTGCCTCTCCAGCTAGACCATGAGCTGCTCCAGGGACAGGACTGTGGCTTTTGTTTCTGCCTTCACAGTGCCTAACACAAGGCTTGGCACAGATAACCCTTGGTGAATCTTCCTTAATTGAAAGAATGATCAAACACTCTTCCTATTTGGTGCTCTCTGCATATCTGCGGGAGATTGCAAGGTAGGAGAAAGTAGGTAGGGGCCCCGCATAAGCACAGGCCCCAAGGTGACACCTGACTACTGACTGGGCAGAGAAGTGCCCTTCACCTGCAGGGTGTCAGTGAGGAGTGGTAGGACCGGAGCCCCAGCCCCCAGTGCCCCCATCAGTCAGAGAAGCTCTGCTTTTGTTTGTTTCCTGTCTTATAATTCTAAATAAGAATCTAATAGAGGAGTCTGACACTTTTTTTTTTTTTTTAATTTGAAAGCCATGGAGACAGTGAGGGAAGCAGACCCCAGTCACTGAAAGGCCTTGTGTTCCACTGGAAATGACTTGAACTTGGTGTTTAAGACCAACCTGTCTCTGAGTCTGTTCTGCTGAATAGAAGTCCTATGACACCCTTGTCAAAAGGACAAACACTGTGGGTGTGTTATAATGCCCCCTTGGTGATGGAGAATGTACATGAGCCCACTGAAGGCTCTGAGAAGTCCTGCAGCAAAGCCACTACCTCTACATTATCTACTTCCACGGCTCCCAGACACAACAGATCACAGGAGTCACCCTGTGTGGCAACCCTTGCTCATCCTGGCAGGGTCCTGTCCTCCCTGACGGCAGGGAGGCTGGTTCCTCCGTGCGGCAGCCGTGCTCCCCGTGGGTGCTGGGCAGGCATGTGGGGGTGACAGCTGGAGGAACAGAGGCCCTTTCTCTCCTCAGAAAGGCTACCACGAGATCCGGGAGCTCCGCCTCTTCCATTTCACCAGCTGGCCCGACCACGGCGTCCCCTGCTATGCCACCGGCCTCCTGGGCTTTGTGCGCCAGGTCAAGTTCCTGAACCCCCCCGAGGCCGGGCCCATCGTGGTCCACTGCAGGTAAGCGACGGCCTCCAGCTCCAAACAAGGCTGCTTCTGCAGGGCTGCTCTCAGGGAGGGAGACGAAGTCCTTCCAGCGGCCTTTCTTCTTTGCCTTCAGGACTGCCCTGCCTGTCCCCAAGTTCAGCCTAGGTCCCAAGGTCTGCTTGGGACAACAACAGCAGCAAAGTAATAGTAGCAGTACCAGTGGGTATCACTACTGTTGCCCTGAAATAGTAAAGCCCTCTGGGGACGTGGGCTCACACTGACAGCGTCTGTTACATGTGCACTTGGCACACTCCTCATGCGGCCTGGAGGGGTGGGCGTTAGCATCCTTCCCATTCTACAGATGAGAACATCGAGGTGCTGAGAAGGTGGGCCCTTTGCTCGGGGCACGCAGGTGTAAGCCAGCAGCGCTGGGAGTTGACAGGCTTTTCTCTAGTCGCTCGCCCTCGGCTGCTTGCCACGGCAGCGGGGCACCTCCGTGGAAGCATGCTGCTCTTCAGTTCTGTTATTTTCAAACTCGATTGCTGGCCTGCAGGGTCCTTAACCGAGAGTAAATGGATAGCGCCAGGCTTCACCTTATTATGGAGAAGAGGTATTTTCAGCTCTGACCTAGAAAGTCACATGGGGAATGACTGACACGTCCTCCAATCCTCCTAAATGGAGATGAAGTGTCGTGTCAAGGGCATTAAGAATTGGACCAGACCTGAAGGCCAGCTGGCCCGCACACTCCTGCCTCCCTCTTCCAGTGTGACCTTAGGCCCAGCCCAGCTTTTCAGACCCTGTGTGTTCTTGACTTACGCCTGCCCTGGCGATGTCCACGTCAGTCAAGGTCTTGAGTGAAGCCAAGGAGGGACTCCACAAACTGCAGGCATCTCAGGGCCAGCCCCTTGTCACTCAGCATCCATTTACCCTCCCCACGGGAGCAGGTGGGAATTAGAGACCCCATTTCACAGATGAGGTCACTGAGGGTTGGGAGGTAATAGTCGCCATCAGCCCTGGACTCTCTTTAAGTGTTTTGCATATATCCTCTGCTTTACGGCTCATGACAGTTCAAGGACAGTAGAACGTTAGCCCCCAAGTCCTATGTCCCAGAGAGCAGCCAGAGCAGGAGGAAGGGAGGAAGGGAGACGATTTATTAGGCTCTCCTTGCACGATGGCTCTATGTCTTTCCTCCAGAGCCAGTCCGCCTAACACGCCTGGCACAGTGGTCCCCACTCCTGGGACCATGCTGAAGATGAAATGTGCTGGCTGCCATATACTCGGTGCCTCGGAGAAGTCCTGACATCTAAGAAGCACTTAAAAACACTACTGTTCTCTGCCTCTGATACTGGTCCGCTTCCCAGGCTGTTAATTCTTCAGAGCAGAAACCATGTCTGCTTATCTTCATATCCCACCCCAATCCCACCATCTAGTGCATACTGGGTGCTCAATAAATACTTGTTGAATATAAGTAGCTACCATTTACTGAAAAATTGCAACGTAGCTAGGCATAGAGCTAGGTCATTTACATGCACTGGGCTCTTTCGGCATCATTTCGTGCAATGTACATGTATTGTGCTATCAATGCTACAGGGTGGGTCTATTTATTATTATCAGCCTCATTTCATGGTTGCGGTTACTGAAACCCAGAAAGGTTAAGTCATTTACCCAAGGTCACACAGCTAGTAAGTGGTTAAGCCAGGCTTGGGTTCCAGGGGTCTGACCCCAGATATGATAAGCTCGGTTGTTATGTGAGGCTGAAATACAGCTCAAGTCCTCAAGAGAACCCGGCAGGGAGGCAGGTTATATGTGTGAGGCTTACGGGCACCAGGCAGGTTGTTCACCCATGGTGGATCCAAGATTCAAAACCAGGTCAAGATGCTTGTTTCCCCTAACACAGATGGAGGAGGAGACTTCAGGAAGACGCCGATGAGTGGCTGTTTGTGCTCCCTCCTAGACCCCGGGGCCCAGGCTGCTGAGACCCTTCTCGGGGGTGGGGGGGGTTGAATTCAGGGCGGAAAGGTACAAATACAAGTCAAACTTCACTCACTTAAAACCATGAAATTTTACTAAGAACTAAGACTGCTTCCCATGGGTTTGTTTTCCAGATCATTGTGGGTGACAGTCCTCCCTGGATTTATGGTCAGCCAATCCTGCTCTCTTCCTGCCCCATCACTTATTTCCCTGGGGGAAGCAAGATGTGAAAATACAGTCAGCATGGGCCTCCTTGCTAGCCTGGCCTTCACTTTCTAAACTACGTGCACTTAAGGCCAGTGTTCTATTTGTCTCTGGTTCAGAGCCATGCCTGGAAACCAGTGCTGATGGGGGAAGGACTGGCTGTGGTCCATGGGTCATGCTGAGTTCTTTTGCCATTTTGTACTTGGTTTGAGATTTTCCTAAAGGAAACCACCAGTGATCAGAATTGAGTATGTATCAGAATCGCAGTATGTCTCCCAGACCAGGGTCTTGGGACTGTCACCTATTCCAGTTGAAGAATGCTCCTGGCTCACGTTCCTGGGAAAACAGATGCCCGTGGAGCCAAACCTGGGGCTTGCATCATGGGACCTGGGACTTACTCTCTGTCTCTGGGCCTGCTCAGAGGATCTGTCTTCCCATATCTGCCCACGTCTCTCCTTCCTTGTTTCCATCCGTCAGCCTATTTGCTGACAAAGGGAAATAGACAGAAGGGGGAGTGGTGAAGACATGTCTATTAGGCATCTCCAGCGTGCCGGGCACCATGCCTTATACGATACAGACGGATTAGCTTCACTCACTAAAGGAGGAAACAGTGTGCAAACGTGTTGTCGAAGCATGTGTTTCGTGCTACGACTGTTATTAGGAGTGGATGTCTAAGAGCACAGACCCGAGAGCCAGATGGCTGGGGTGAAAAGTCCCACCTCCATGGCATGCCGGCTCTGTGACCTTGAGCGAGGTCAGCTCTCTGTGTCTCGCTTTTCTCACCTGTAAAATGGGGTGAGAAACTTCCCAACGACCTCGCAAGGGAGCCAATAGGTAATGTTTGTAAAAGCACTTAGAACAATGTCTGGTACTTTGTAAGCATTAAGTGAGTCCTTGCTAAATGAGGACAACAAAAGTAAGCAGGTTCTGCTACAATAGCCCCCAATGCAAGCATTGCTCTCCCATTTTACAGAAGAGAAAGCTGAGGCTCCAAGTTCACTTGCTTGCTCAGAGTCTCCCAGCAGCACTAGGATTCAGACTGTTGTGTCTGACCTCTGCAGCCTGCTGCCTCTTTGCAGGGTCCTTGGGACAGGGCTGAGTGGTTGGGGGGGGGCAGGGAGCCTCACCTGGGCTAGTCCCGCCCTGAGGTCCCTAATATAGACACTGTCCTCTCTTCCAGTGCGGGAGCCGGAAGGACCGGCTGCTTCATCGCCATTGACACCATGCTCGACATGGCCGAAAACGAAGGGGTAGTGGACATATTCAACTGTGTGCGTGAGCTCCGGGCCCAGAGGGTCAACCTGGTGCAGACAGAGGTGAGTCCTGGGGGACTGAGCTGGGCAGCAAGCTGCAGCCCTGGCCAAGGAGAAGCAGGGTAGAACAGACACCCATGGGTGGGGGCATCCTATAGAAAGAGACCTGGAGTGGGAGGAAGGGAGAGAGGGAATACATGGCTTGCTACAGTGGTCCCACAGTAGAAGCTAAGACACTGCTGCCAACCCTGAGGTCCCACAGGGCAAGCACTTGCACCAGTGGGGAGTGGTGGTGAGTTCCCCGGCTCTGAGGGCATCCAAGCAGGGACTGAATGGCAACTTTCAAGGATTCTTTGAATAGTATTCCTGCCTTGGTGGAAGGAGAAGACTGTGTGCCAAGCATTGCTTCAGTCCCTGCCAGAATGACTTCATCAACAAAATTATTGAGTACTTGGGCTGGGTCCTAGGGATTCCAAAAGAGGTAACACATAGCCCCCGCCCTTGAGGGAAAAGCAGACCTTCAGGCATCCCTCTGTCCAGGTAGAGAGCCCAAGACCCGAGGGAAATGGGAGGAGTTCATCTTTATTGTTGAGCACCTACTATGTGCCAGGCATCATGCTAGGTCCTTTATATTCAGGATATTATTTGTACTCCTCACAACAAGCCTGTGGGGTGGCTCCTACTAGTATCCCCATTTTAGAGATAAAGGGTCCCCACGTCCTCACAGAGGTGGACAGTGGTGGAACCTGGGTCCATGTGACCCCAAGGCCCATGCACTTTTCCCTGAACCATACTCTCTTGTTAGGCAGCCTTTTCTGCCTACCCATGAACAAGCCATGGCTTGTTCTTATAACAAGCCCATCATCTGGTTCTGGGGAAGCCTGTGAGTGCCCAGGCAGTCAGCTAGGGCAGATAAGGAGCTACATCCATCATCAATCCTGCAAAGGCAAGTTTTGGCTTTGGGCCTGGCCAGTCACTGCTGGCTCCACAGAGAATCCCCCCACTTACAAGCGTATGCACATAGGAGCCCGCTGTGGGCTCTGAGCTAACTCCCGCAGGCAAACATCTAGACTTGGTGAGGCTGCAGGAAAGACAAGTGGCTGCTTTCTCTGTTCCCAGATTTGTGCTTGCAGAAGACAGGCTCACTGGCTGGCGCTAGACACAGGGTCCCTGCTGTCTGGTGCAGAGACAGACATTCAGATAGATCATCATGATGCATCTGGATAAGTGTTTGATGTAGAGATGGGCCAAGCTCTGCAAGAGAACAGTCACTCAACAAACGTTTGTTAAGAGCCTGGGAGCAATAGCAACAGCTTCCACCTGGTGCATTTGCAGAAGACTTTCCAGAGGGAATGAAGCAGTGGGGGCCATAGCAAAGGGGGCACGGGGTTCCAGGGGAAGAGAACAGCAGGTGCAAAGGACACAGGTAGCAGAGGGGCCCAGAGTTCAGGAGCAGACCCTGAGACAAGGAGCTGAGGGCATGTGGTTTATTGGTGAGGTGATCCCAAGCCTCACCGGTTGGAAAGCAAAGAGAAGGAAAGGAAGCCAGGCTGTGTGACACTGCTAAGGGGTTTTGCAAGCTGTTTCACCCTGTGGACACCTGGAGCCCAAGCCTGCTGGGAGCTCTGAGGTAGTATGGAACATGCCCTCCCAAATATCCTACCTGGGAGAGAAGGAGTTTAGGTATTTCTGCCCCAGCTCTCCAGCTGACACTGCTTGAGGGCTCCTTCCTGGAGTGCTGACTCTTCCAGCCCTGCTGTCTCGCCCTGCACCCAGCTCCAGTGTGCTCCTGGGACTAGAAGAAATCCCTCAGCCTGAATCTCAGGTGCTTGCAGTAAGCAGCCTTCAAGGTAGAGGTGAAAGCTGACAGAGGCAGGCACCAAGAGCCCGTGCTGCAGCAGTTCCAGAAGTTTCTAACTGTCATCAGTGACTACACTGTTGAGTCTTACAGTGTAGTCTCACCCTTGCTCAGGCGATCACGAAGAAACAGGGAAACTTGGCCCTTCAGGGTTTTGGAGAGGAAGCTGTGATTCTGCGATCTAAATCCTGCGCATCCTTCACCACCATGGGATTACGTTTAGGCGACACACACCCAGGCCACTCTTCTTCTCACCCAGAACCCTATCTCTTCTCTCCGTGGCTTGGCAGGAGCAATATGTGTTCGTGCACGACGCCATCCTGGAAGCGTGCCTCTGCGGCAACACAGCCATCCCCGTGTGCGAGTTCCGCTCTCTCTACTACAACATCAGCAGGCTGGACCCCCAGACCAACTCCAGCCAGATCAAAGACGAATTTCAGGTATGGGCAAGTCCCGGGCTCAGTGACCCAGCCAACTTCAGCGGCACTGAGCACATTCATGGGGTTTTCTTTGTGAGAATGGGTAAGCCTAGTGCTTCCAGTGTCGGCAGCGTTGGACAGCTGCAGAATGAATTCCAGAACATTCGATGCACAGCCACAAGCAACTATTAACCAGTCACTCGGTGACTGCTGACACAGGTTTTTAATTGTGATCATGTGTTTAACTTAGTTCTAGTCTAGTCCTAGTTGTGGGTGGAACAAGTTTCTAAACACAGGTGTGAGTTTCGTGCTCCACCGTCCCTAAAGGGACTCGGATTTTCTTGCCATTTCTGTGCAATTGGAGTGTATTGGTCCTAGATCCTCACTACTCAAAGTGGGGTCTGGAGACCAGCACCATCGCCTTCACCTGGGAGTTCATCAGGAATGTAGAATCCTGGGTCCCACCCATATCTACTGAACAAGAATGTGCAGTCTAACAAGATCTCCAGATGATTTGTCTGCACATTAAACTTTGAGAAGCACCATCCCAGAGCTCAGCTCAGCTCAGGCATGGCAGATCTGCACCTTGCAGCCCATGTGGCCAGAATGGTGGCCCCTTTGGTCTGGAGGTCTGGACATGTATCACTGAGTAAGCCAAGAGTCCAACCTGTTGTCCTGAGGTCTGTGCCAGGGTCATCCCTGGGCAACAGGAGTTGAGAACCAGGCAGCAGGAAGCAAGGAAGTTTCAGGAATTGAGAGGCAAGTGCTCGGCCCATGATTCCACGGGCAGATACCCCAGCCAGGCCAGTTCCCCCATGCTCCCTTAAACGGAAGCTTTATTGATTGGGACAGGAGACCAAGTGCAGAATGGAGGAAAGATGGAGGCCACAGCCCCCTCCTGGGTGCACAGAGCATCTGGTCTCCTGGCTGGACAATTCAGCTCTGGCCCCACACTTGCAAGACTCAATCTGCAGAACACAGCCCTAAAATTTTCCAGATGCCTAGATTTTGCCTCCCTGGGGGATCTCTCACCCATCCTGAGCAGCTCGTTCCAAAAACCACTTTCTCTGAGAGGAGCATTGGGGAAATCCTTTCCCTCCTTCCACAACACTTCAAGGGATACATAACACTCATTAGAGATTCCCCAGCCCCACCCCCACCCCCACCCTCTGACCTCCTGACTGGCCCACCCTTTACAGAGATGAGCAGGTTGACAGGTGTTGGCAGCCTGTTTCTGCCCTGCACGTGGGTGTGCCGCCCTGCGGCCTTGGCATCATGGGGGTGTCACACAGCCCTGACAGGGGCTCTCAGCTCCCAGGGCATGGAGCAGCCAACAGGAGATGGCAGCATATCACACGGGAGAAGAACAAGTCCTGGGGGTGGGGGTGGGGGGTGGGGCCTGGAGGGCCAAGCTTGGAGGACGGAGATAGGATGGGGTAGGCTGAGTTTGAACCGCCTAAGCAGTGCCTACCTATCTGTCTTTGCACCCTACAGACCCTCAACATCGTGACTCCCCGAGTCCGGCCCGAGGACTGCAGCATTGGGCTCCTGCCCCGGAATCACGATAAGAACCGGAGCATGGATGTCCTGCCTCTAGACCGCTGCCTGCCCTTCCTTATCTCGGTGGATGGGGAACCCAGCAACTACGTCAATGCCACTCTGATGGACGTAAGCTGAGCCCTGGCTGGCACTCACTGGGGAAGTCTCTTCGAGGTGGAGATGGCTGGAGGCCAGGGCACTGACACCCCACACCACCACCCCCAGACAGCCTCTCCTTGCTTCTCATCTTCTGGCCCCAAGGACCGTTGCTCCCCCTGAAGGCTCTGGTCCAAACCTATATACAAGCTGTGTTCTTGGCTCTTCGCTCCCATAAGCTTGGAAAGAATGGACCAAAAGCATAAAGTGTGTGTCCATGACAGCATGGCACAGGCCTGCCCAGTACCCCCTCCCGCGGCCTACAGAGCTGACTCTCAGCCTTCTGTTCAGTTCAGGAAACATTCTATATGCCAGGCCTTGGCCTGAGCCCTGGGAATGCAAGATGGTACAGACATGGGTTCTGCCCCCGGGGAGCTCCCAGGCACGTTCCCAGATAACCCCTGTGCAGAGGCAAGAATCAGACTGGCAGGTAGTAAGTGATCCGTAAGTGGTTACTGGACAAGTGATGGGATGTGGCAAAGGGGGCCCCGAAGGGGGCAGGCCATGTTCCTGACTGTTCCGTCAGGGGTACTGTCTCCTGCTTTCTCGGCATCAAGTCCAAGAAGGGCACTCCCACCCTGACCTGGTTTAGGAGTCATGACCCCAATGAGGAGGTCATGTCCTTGCCCCAGTCCTGACTCATAGGCTTCCCCACTGGGTCCTTCAGCTCCTTCCTGTGGTCATCCCTCCACCTCCTGAATGTAGAGATGTTTGCAGCAGGAAGGAGCCATGGATCATCTGGTCTCATCCTTGTACTTTTTAGCAAAGGAAACTGAGGCCAGAAAGAGGAAGAGACTTGCTCAAGGTCACCCCCAGAAAGCTAGTGGCAGAGCCAGAACCCAGAACTCACACTCTAGAATTCATTCCATGGGCCTCCCCACAGTTTGTGCAATCCAGGAAAATACAGACATCTCACCTCCCGAGGCTCAGGACCAAGAACACCATTGCCTGGTTAGAAATAAGCTCTTCCAGGTTCCCCTCCCCACTCATGTCCAAGGTCACATCCATCCAGCCCATGTGGACTTCCCATCTCCCCCAGAACAAGAAGGAATGTGCAATGCCCTCTCTTGGGGTCAAAGCCAACTACTTCTCTGACCTCTGATCCTCCTGAAAATCTCCCCAAGGGCCCTTGGTGTTGGAGGCAGGGAAGTGATGGGAGCTCAATGCCTATCAGCTCTGTCGGGGACTGCCCTGGCCTCTGTCCACAGGGGGAGTCCTCCATGGACTCCCTCCTATGAGTCCCAAAGCGGGAGCTTTGTCCTGGTCAGATCAAATAGCTAGATGTGGAAGGGAAACCTCTGGCTTTAGCTTAGAGTCCTCCAAGATCAATGTGTGCATGTGTGTGTGTGCGCGCGTGCGCGCGCACGTGTGTGTGTGGGGGGCAAGAGATGGGGCCTGGGGGTGTAATCACACTTCCAAGTTCCTCATTGCTTTTTCTCCCACTCGTCCCAACTCTCTCTCCCTGGCTTCCTCATCTATGCAAGGATCAAACATGCTTCTGGCCTCTACTTAGTAGGTTAGATGCTGCCTGGAGCCAAATGCCTTCTGCCAAGCTCTGATGCTGATTGTGTTCTCTTTGTCCACGGGGCATTTCTCCTGTGAGCCATCACTAGGCCTTTGCCTTTCTTACAAAAAAAAAAAAAAAAAAAAAAAAAAGGTCCTTATCTGTATTCAAGTTCAGTCTGTGCGCTATCTGGTAACCATAGCAGCTTTGCTCCTAGCAGAAAAATATGAAGTCCTCTGGGTTAATTTTTAATGTTTCCCCTGGTAAAGGATGATGTTATCCATGAAATGGATTGCCGGCTGATCCCTGAAACCCGGCAGGAACGCGGATCTCGAACATATTTTCAGATAAGGCTTTGTCAGGCATGCTGGTCTAATAGAGCATTTATCACAGAGACAGAGAGAAAGGAAAGAGAACTAACATTCACTGAGTGTTGGGCACCATGTCGGGACCTGGGACTTATCCTGACTCATTCTGTATTGGGGTATTATTGTCCCCACTTTCCAGATGAAATACTGAGGCTCAGAGTATTTGCGTGACTGTCTCCAGGTTGACTAGCTCAGAAAGGGTGAAGCCCGGGGTCCGGATTCTGTCTCTTGACTCTTAAAATCTAGATTCTTTTCCATGTCTGGAAATGGCTCAGAGACCTGCTATCTGCAGCTGGAGTTTGGGTTTTGGAGAAACTAAATATTCTGCCCCCCCCAGCCCCACCCCCACCCTTTGACCATTCCACTGGCCAGGAGAAGGCCCTTGGAAGACGGGACCCTGCTGTCTGCATGACATCCACAGTCACAAGGCATCAAGAAATCATTTATGTAATATGGTTAGCAGGGTCTTTTGTCCGGCTCTTCCCCTGGTTTGGATGGGCAAGCCCCTCTTTCCTCCCCATCTTCCTGCTGCCACAGGGCCCGTCTCTCAAGAAAGCTTGTTAAGAAGATAGGCTGTGGACAATCTCCGGTTTCATGGGCCACTAAAGGAGAAGCCCTCCAATCTTTCCAAACACCTTCTCACAAGATACTGTAATAAATAGGGCCCCGCCAAAGCTTCCCACATAGCCCAGACTCTCTCAAGCTATTTTCTGTGGGCCTCAGTTTCCCCGTCTGTAACATGGAACTGAGTATATTCATTTGTTTGCTGGACCTGTACTGGGGGTCTCATGTGTCAGCCACACCACCAGTGCCAAGGATGAAGAACCACATCAGGGATGTTTCTGTCCTGCCAGTGGGCTCAGAGCCCCGTTCATGTGTCCTGGTCTTTTCAAATACAAATCTCATTCACTCTGCATGACAACCATCCCAGAATGGGAGTTGTGATTCCCATTCTCCAGATTAGAAAGATCTGATAACTTGCCAGGGCTTAGCACCACAGTCTTGCTACAGAGACAGATGAGCACTTAGCACTCTACAAATGATGCTCGGATGGATGGGTGGATGGATGGGTGGATGGGTGGGTGGATGGATGGATGGATGGGCGGGTGGATGACTGATAACCTACAAGTCAGAAAGCTGGATTTGAACCCCAGGTCTGCCTGACGCTAAAACCTGAGCACCTTCCACTGCCCATTGCCTCACAGCACACCATGCCCACCTTCTGACAAGCCACCTCCGCCCTCGTTCTGGCTTTGGAGCGGGAGCGAGCCTCCTGCAACAGAAGCCCCTTCAGGAGGCTCTCTGCCTTGGGCCGAGCCATCCCCTCCTCCAGCATTGTGGGCACAGGAACACAGATATCCCCAGTGTCCCAGGAGGTGCTTTGGGCAGCAAAGCAGCAGATCTGCATCCAGAATCTTTCATTTCATATTGTAATAATGATTATTTGCTGAGCTCTAAACATAAATAATTTATTTGGATAATCCCCAGCCGAGTGACACTTTGCTAATGAAATGGCTTAGTTTAGAGGAGAATGAGTTCATTATGAGAAGGCCCCCTTGGCCACTGGGGGCACCCACAGATGACAGAACAGGTAGGTGTCTTGTGCAATCTGTTCAGCAGGCTCAGGGGCCTCTGGCAGCCATGCAAGCCTCCTCCCCATCAGAATCTCCCTGCTGGGTGTGTCCTTCACGAAGCCTGTGTCATTCCTTTGTCAGAGCCACAAGCAGCCTGCTGCCTTCGTGGTCACCCAGCACCCTCTACCCAACACCGTGGCGGACTTCTGGAGGCTGGTGTTCGACTACAACTGCTCCTCCGTGGTGATGCTGAATGAGATGGACACTGCCCAGGTAGGAGGGGCCCGGCCACCACCCAGGTGCTCGGGTACATTCAGGCGGCCATGCCCGAGAGTTGGAGGGAGAACGTGAGGGTCAGCATAGTGCTTCCTCCACCTAACAGAGCTGCCTGCGCATGGGCACTGGCTGGCTGCCAGCACCAGACTAGCCCGTCCTGCCGCCAGCAGAGGCTGGGGGGTCTCTTGCCAGACCCCGCCACCCCCGACCCTGCACCCTCTCACTTCCAGCAATGACTCTCCCCGCTTGTGGGCTTTGCCCAGCCCTCCTCCCCAGTCTGGGGCCAGATTCTGTTGCTTCATCCCCCAGGCACTGATGAGGGTCTTGCTCCAAATCCCACTGAGCACACTGAGCCCAGGGGCTCAGAGAGCCTCCCCAGCTCTGAGCATCTCCAGCCCTGCAGAAGAGCCTGAGGCCTGGCCACACCCCCACCCAGCCTGCCCCCTCGGAAATGCAGCCCGCACCGACAGAGCTGGAGCTTGAACCTTGGGCCCTTTGCCCACTAGCCAACCCGAGGATCCTGGCGTCATCACAGATGACCCTTGTATCCAGGCAGGCTTCATGCCTTAGCCCCCCAGGGTCTGACAGCTCCGAGCATCATGTGCCTACAGCACATCCCAGTACTCAGGACCCGTGTCATGGGAAGGCTGCTGGCGCCTGCGCCCCCCATGGCAGGACAGCCATTCCTGGGTGGGAAAAGTGGGAATGTCCTTTTGGGTGTTTGAAAAGTGGTGTCTTGAAAGAAACTCAGGGTACCTCAGTGCACTCCTGTGTGCATGCTGGCCTTGTGTGGGAATAAAATAAAATGAATCTGAGCTGTGGTCTCAGCCCTGCAGGAGCTCACAGTCTTGCTACAGAGACAGATGAGCAAATTGTCCCAACCTCGTGTGGCAGTGCTGTAATAGAGGTCAGCTGCGAAGTGCTGTGCTGGCTGGGAACAGGGAGCAATTAATTCTGCCCAGAGGGTGAGGGAAGACTTCAAAAAGAAGGTGACTTTGGCCTTGAAGAAGGCAGCAGAAGTTTGGGGGTGTGGGGCTGAGGGAGCTGGGAAAAGGCCCTCTGAGCAGAGGGAACAGGAGGGCAAAGGCAAGGTGGTGTGAATGTGTGTGGCTTGTTGGCAGAAGAGCTGGGGTTGCGGTGGGGCGGGGGCTGGGGTCTCTCGGGAGCAGAGGACGGGGTGAGGCTGGAAAATGCAGCAGGGTGCTGCTTGCACGGGGCTGCCCATGGGCACTACAGAGTTTGGGCCTTGACCTGCAGCACGGTAGGTGTCAGACGCTTACTTTGTAAGCAGCAGAACCCTTTCTTCGAATAAAGCTCTCATGCAGGTGCCATATCGGGAACAGGTCTAATCAAGAGCTGCTCATGGTGAAGCCACCTGGGGTGGGGGTTAAGCTCCCTCCTGACTGGTCTTCTGCCCCCCCCGATGCCTCTTGGAGAGTCAGGACTCTGGGTGGCTTTGTGAACCCCCGGGCTTCCTAGGAGCACCGTGAGACAGCACTTGCAGTCCAAGGAGGAGAGATACGGCAGCGTGTAAGCCGAGGTGTGGCTGAGTTCCCATTAGAAAGCCGCATCTGAGGACCAGTGAGGAGGAGAAGCTGCAGGGAAACCTGCCAGCCAGGAGACAGCGGAGGAGGATGTTGCAAATGCACAGAAAAGAGAGGTGGGGGTCTGAACTGAGGAGGTGGCTGGCAGGCGGGACGGTGGGGCTGGGAGGTAGGAGCTGGGCTTCCAGACCCAAGTCCACGGTTTTGGCGAGCAGTTGGATGCAGGAGGTGAATGAGAGGGAGAAGTTGCGGATGGTGGCAGGGGCCCAGGTCTGGGTAGTCAGGCGTCTGGGGGTAGGTGGGAGGAGGCTAGGTGCGGGGAGCTGGAGTGCCCAGTGGGACGCTCGAGGGAGAGATGTGCGGGAGAGATGCGCTTGTTCTTCAGCCATATTTGTGGAGTATCTGTTACCCACCAGGAGCTATTCTAGGTGTTTGGAATGCGTTGTGAATAAGAGCAAGCAAAACAGCAGACTCCCATCTCTGCTGCAACTTCTGTTCTAAAGTGGAGGAGACAGTCAATAACAAACACCCTATAATGTACTTAATTATATGTTAGAAGGTGATGAGTATATGGAAAAAACTACGAGGGCGGGGTAAGGAAGATTGGAAGGCGGGTTTGGGGCCCAGAATACAATTGTGATAGAGGGATCAAGGCAGGCCCTATTGAGGAGGTCACGTAGAAGCTTATTTTTGAAGGAAGTGAGAGAACGAGCCGTGTGACCATCTCCAGGAAGAGCATCACGGGGAGAAAGGACAAACCACACCAACACTTTATGGCGGGGTCGTGCCTGGCACGTTTCAGGAACAGCACAGAGGCCACTGTGACTGGAACACAGTGGAAGTGGGAACAACAGCAGCAGGTGACCCAGAGACATGGCAGGGCCAGGTCATGGAGGGCCTTGGGGGTCATAGGAAGAACTTGAGGTTTTACTCTGAGAGAAGAAGGGAGCCACTGACAAGTTTTTGAGAGGAATGACATACTTTGCCTTTTTTTTTTTTTTTTTAAATCATCCCTCTGCCTACTGTGTTGAGAATAGACTGTTGGTGCAGGAAGGGGGGGAGGGTGTTTGCTAAGGGAGCGAGCAGAGAGGATGGAGAGGAGGAAGCTTCTGCAGTCATCCCAGGTGACAAGTGATGGCTGCTTGAACCCGGGGCTAGCAATGGAGTGGATTCTGGATATATCCTGACCAAATACCTGATAGACTGAATAGGGAGTGTGAGAGAAAAAAGGTGACTCCAAGATTTGGGGCTTAAACGGTAGATGACTGGAATCCGAGATAACCATGAAATTAAATGGATTCCCATAAACCAAAGACCCCTGTGGAGTTCCAGACTCAGAAGGCACAGCCGTCCTATTCCTTTGCCTAAAAAAGTAAAACCGTGAACTCTGCTCCACGAGCCCCTGAGTGAAGTAGAGTCTGTGAAAGCCTGTTTGCCGTTCACCTTTTCCAGAATCCCTTTCTGCAAAACCAGAGCTCAGGCACGGAGGAGGAGTCTCCAAGAACCTCACTTTGAGACATGGAGATAAGCAGGGGTCAAGGTCATTGGCTCTAGCTCCCCCCTTCCAGGGTGGGTCTTGGATAAACAGATTTCTCAGCCCCAGATGTTGGTACAGCCTTTGAGAATTGATTTCCCTAAATGCAAAAACATCAGGCTCAGAAGAGCCGTGGGGTTGGCTGCCATATGCTGCTGGCAAGCGTCCCCTAAAATCGGCAGATGAATAGAGCACTTATTGATATAAATATCATCACCACAACAGCTGGGTGCCTTGCGAAAATAAACAATGACACCACATGAGCATCAGAAAAACCGCCCTCAGCACCTGGAAGGGAGGTTCTTTGAAGTGGTATCAGCATTTGCCCGCCAGCATGCCCGTGCCAGGACAGCCTCGGGCCTGCACAGATGGGTCTGCCCTAGGGCCTGAGCATCAGCAGAGGACCAGTGCCACATCCTGTGGTTTGACAGGGGACCAAACCTATCCAGGCTCGTATTGAGGGTTGTGGCAGGACTACCTGTAAGTTGCCGCAAAGTAAGGTGGAGGAGAGGCTGAGACCTCCCCGAGTGCCTTATTTTCTTGCACTGCTCAGAATCCTATACTGCATCATTCAGTCAGCTGTCCCCGGCCACAGATACTCTCCCATTCTCCACGGTGGCTTCTGTTCAAAGATAATTCCAAGCAGTGGGGGCTAAAGATAAAGACTCTGAAGGCCACTACAGGTATTCAACCTTAGAGATTTATTTTTTTAGCTCTTTAGGACTCTAAGGCCTGTGATCAGATTAGTGGGGCAATATCCTAGAACCACAACATCCAGTAAATGGCACTGTGGTTTCCAGTGGGCACCTCTGAAAGAACCTTTCCAGTCACACCCAGTAGCACTGACACAAGATCCCTTCCATCCTCGTGGACTCTATGGATAGCCAAGAGTCCATGGGGAACAGACGCCAAAAAGGAGCCTTCTTCATGGTCATGCCACACCCGCCATATTGTTTAGACACCTCAGGAGATCCTCTGTGCCAGCCATGGGGTGGGGCTGTGCAGTAGACAGAATCATGTCCCCTCACCCCCAAAGATGTCCACATCCTTGTCTCTAAACCGGCAAATGTGTTGTCTTACAGAGTAGAAGAGACTTTGCAGATGTGGTAAATTTAAGGATGCTGAGATGTGCACATTGTCCTGGGTTTATCCAGGTGGGCCCAATATTAAAGTCCTGGTAAGAGGGATGCAGGAAGATCAGAGTCAGTGGTGTTGGAAGCAGACCATGGGGTGATGGAAGCAGAAAGTGGAGAGAGACGGCCACAGGCCAAGGAATGCTGGCCGCCTCTCAAACTGGAGAAGATGAGGAATGGATTGTCCCCTGCAGACTCCAGAAAGGAACACAGACACCTTGGCTGACACTTTGATTTTAAGCCTTTAATGCTCATTTCAGATTTCTGACCTCCAGATAATAAATTTGTGTTACATTAAGCCACCACATTTGTGGTGATTTGTTGCATCAGCCATAGAAAACTAATACAGGCAATAAAACTGAAAACAGGAATTCAGACCCAGAGGTACAGGGCATCAGTGTCAGTGCAGGGTGTGAGACTGAAATCCTGGGAACATCCTGAGTCAGCAGTGTTGGACTGGAAAGTGGTTCAAGCTGGAGAAATGCATGTCTGAATCAGAGTCCTTCAGGAACCATGAGAGAGCAAGATGGGGAGAGCCAAGGAGAAGGCAGATGTCCACTTCACCAAACACAGGACACTTGTGGACCCAGGAGGTCTTTTAAAGTCAAGGTGCCTGCTTTCTGTGTTGCATTCAATCCTTCAGTCATCAACATGCGTCAAGTGAGAACCTTCCATGCACAAGGCACAGACCAGACATAGAACAGGACAAAAGAGGCACAAAAAACCCACAGTCCCCACGGTGCAGACATTGTGGTGAAGTCATATCTACCTGCCAGACTCCCTTTG